ATGAAGGGGACATGGCTCAAGTAGTAGAGTACCACTAAGCAAGCAAGCCAAGCATGCTTCAAGGCCTTGAGTTCAAACCCAGCTCAGAACCCATTTTTTTTAATATGTGGTCCAGGGAGAAATGTACCTGGTAACTGTGGAACTCCTTCTTTAAGTACACATGCAGGTAAGGACATGCAAAGGTGCTTTGGACTGAAGAACAAATGTAATGTGGTTTGTGAGTGACACAACAGAGCACATGTCATCCAATAACCATTTTTATGCCACAGAGGAATTTTTTTTTTTTTGGCGGGGGTCAGCTGTGGGGCCTGGGGTCCCTTAGCTCTTCAGCTCAAGGCTAGTACTCTACCACTTGAGCCACAGCACCACTTCCAGCTTTTTCTGCTTATGCGGTGCTGAGGAATGGAGCCCAGGGCCTCATGCATGCAAGGCAAGCACTCTACCACTAAGCCATCTTCCCAGCCCCGGAAATTTTATACACCATAAAATTTACTTGTTTTTATGTCCCCTCCTACCTACAGCAACTCAAAGAAAGAACAAAAGGAAAAAAGTCTCAATGTATCAAAGACTAAAGAGATTGATAGTGACTCTAAAACCTTTCCTTTAATATTAAACAACATGTCACACATTTTCCACAATACTACAACATATCCATGACATACCGGGCCACAGTAAGGGAAGATGCCTGAGTAAGAACAGAAGGAGGGAATACAATGCCAAGTGCTAGAGCAGAGCTGTCTTACAATAATTTCCTAAAAGCACCTATATAACTGTGATTGCATCACAAGTAAGAACAGGTTGAGACTAGGGTCTTTTCCTTTACATATTCATTCCATTTCTTTTGTTTTGTTGTTTTGTTTTAATGCCGGTAATGGGGTTTGAAAAGTCCTAGCACTCTCACTTGACCTTTTCACTCAAAGTTGGCACTCTACCATGTGAGCCATAGCTCTAATTCTGACTTTTGTTCGTTAACTGGGGATAAGAATCTCACAAGCTGGGTGCCGGTGGCTCACGCCTGTAATCCTAGCTACTCAGGAGGCTGAGATCTGAGCATCAAGGTTCAAAGCCAGCCCGGGGAAGGAAACTCCGTGAAACTCTGATCTCCAATAAACCACCAGAAAACTGGAAGTGGTACTGTAGCTCAAGTGGTAGAGCGCTAGCCTTGAGCTGAAGAGCTGAGGGACAGAGCTCAGGCCCAGAGTTCAAGCCCCATGACCAACTAAATAAATAAATAAGCAAGCAAGCAAGCAAGCTGGGCACTGGTGGCTTATGCCTGTAAACCAAGCTATTTGGGTGACTAAGATCTGAGAATCACAGTTCAAAGCCAGCCCAGGCATGATAGTCTGTGAGATTCTTATCTCCAATTAACCACCAGAAAAGCAGAAATGGTGCTATAGCTCTAACTGGTAGAGTGTTGGCCTGGGGCAAACACTTGAGCTCAAGGATAGCGCCCAGGCTCTGAGTTCAAGTCCCATGACCCCCTCCAAAAAAAAAAACACCTAGAGTCTAAGAAAATTTAGATGTTAGAGTAGAAAAATAGCTGAGAAATATCCACAACATTCGGTATTTTTTTTTCTAAAACAATCTACGTTTCTACAGGCATTAAGAAAGGAAGTATGACCTTAATAACACTTGACTGTTTAAATCCTTGCTCTCTGCACTAGATAGACACAAACACACAGTCTTCTGCCCACCTAACTCTAGATCTAGATCTACCATTAAGTGTGCGTTTAAATGCCTACTGGTTTATACAAGTGCCATTGATTTATACAGGACAAGTTAGTCCTAGGCTCTACACAGTGTTGCACATTGTAATATATTCTAAACAACATGAACAAGTATACCCAGGAGACCTCAAATTTACTGGATGACTCAATACTTGGAGAGGCCAATAGCAGGCCATATTCTCCCCACAGGGTGTTGTTTTCCATTTTGAAACGACAGTAGCATGCTTCAAGGAACACAAGTGTTTCACAAGGAACTGGGAGACACAAAGGAGTTGGCTGGAAAACAAAGTCAGAGCAGGACAGTAGACAAGTTCAAGGACTCAGTAAACATGATACAACTACATGCACTCTACAAGGTAAACAATCAGCTTTTAACTCCTACCAAGTTAGAAGAATAATTACCCATTCCAACCGGATGCTTGTCCATTTCTTGGGCTATTAATTTATTGCATGGACTTTTTGGTGCCCAAAGAAATCTAGGATCAGACTAAAACAGAACTGCAATCAATGATTTTATTTGCCCCCTTTCCCCCCACCCCCACTCCCGCCCCCACAGCTTTCATGCCCTTTCAATCTAACAAGCTAGAGAAAGCAACTGTCCAAATGGCACCAGTCAAACATAGTGACAGATGCAAAAGGAGAATGGACAGGCTTGTTTTACTAACAGTGGACCCATGCAGGAAACAGGCACAAGCTTTTATGCCTAGAAGAGCTGGATTAGCATGCTTTAATACACAAGCCTACATAGAAAGAGAGAAGCCTGCTCAGGACCAAGAGACACACCCATCACACAGGAGGCTCTCACTTGAATTTGATGTTGTCCTGGGGTTCTGGCCAAAGCAAACTAAACTACTGTGGCTCCGCATTTCCCCAAAGGAAGGGCAGAGAAAAAAGTGTAAATCAGTTTAGTAAGTGCTGAAAACAAAGGGAAGAGGGAACAAGTGGAAAACAATCTAATTCTCTAGTGAAGTTCTTAATCACTACCTTTGGAGCAACAAGCCCACTCTACATATAAATACATCCTGGTGATACTTTTGCACAAGAGCACAAATCCTGAAAACACACATACATATAATTATATAATAGTAATATTTATAGTTTTATATATATACATATATACATATAGTACTACTCATACTAACAAAAAGGAAATAACAAATGTTCATCCAGAGGGGAATTATATCCACTAAAAAGTACTTAAAACTGGTGGAGTGCCAAGGGCTCATGCTTATAATCCCAGATACTCAGGAGGCTGAGTTCTGAGGCTCACAGTTCAAAGCCAACCTGGGGAGGGAAAGAGGACTATAATACTCTTATCTACAATTAACTACCCCAAAGCCAGAAGTGGAACTGTGGTTCAAGTGGTAGAATGCTGACTAGAACAAAAAAAAAAAGCTCAGGGTAGGCACCAGTGGCTCACACCTGTCATCCTTGCTGAGGAGGCTGAGATCTGAGGATCACAGTTCAAAACCAACTGGGGCAGGGAAGTCCATGACACTCTTATCTCCAATAAACCACCAGAAAACCAGAAGTGGCGCTGTGGCTCAAGTGGTAGAGCACTTACCTTGAGCTGCCCAGGCCCAGAGTTCAAGCCCATGACCAGCAAAAAAAAAAAAAAAAAAAGCTCAGGGACAGGACCCAGGCCTGAGTTCAAGCCCCAGGACTCACACACACACACAAAGTATTTAACGTGGAGCTACTATACAATATTGATAATTCTTATAAGCCTGAGTTTAAAACAAAAAAAAAAACAAATCACAGAATGCAGTATTTTGTATTTCTCCAAACTTCAAAATCTCCAAAACTTTTAAATATATTGCTTAAAGATGAATGTATGAAATAAAACTATAGCCAAAAAGAAAACAAGGGAAACGATAAACAATTCAGAAGAGTATTTACTTCTGCAGGGGATGTAGTTCAGGAAGGAGCACCCTGATGGCTTCCACAAGAGAAATAATACTCTATTTCTAGGCTAAGTGACATACAAATATTGACTAGTCATTTTGCATATCTTATATTTGAGAGTGTGCTAACAATACTCAACATAAAGAGAGCCTCTGAGCCCGGCGCCGGTGACTCTCACCTGTAATCCTAACTACTCAGGAGGCTGAGATTTGAGGATCGTGGTTCAGAGCCAGCCGGGGCAGGAAAGTCCGTGAGAATCTTATCCCCAGTAAACCACTCGAAAACCGGAAGTGGCGCTGTGGCTCAAGTAGTGGAGCGCTCGCCTTGAGCTGAAGAGCTGAGGGACAGCGCCCAAGCCCAGAGTTCAAGCCCCACGACCAGAAAAGAGAGAGGAGAGAGAGAGAGAGAGAGAGAGAGAGAGAGAGAACCTCACAATGCTCCCTAATAGAGCCTAAGACTTCAAGGTAACAGAATCAACTTGGTTTAGAGGTGACAAAAAGAACAGCTCCAGGCACTTCTCTGGGTTTATTGAGTAAAACCAGCTTTGCAGGTTATCTAAAACACCACTGTCCCCACAGAGTTGAAAACTGTCTTGGCAATTGATAAGATCCCCAAACCCAGAAAAAATTTATCCATGGAAGGAAAGGCCCTAGATTCCAACAGACAGAAGAATGGACTGAATTTAGGAACACGGCAGTTCTTCGATGGAGCCCTTTGAGAGGCTGGGAGGCTGTGCTCCGTTTCTAGAAGGGAGGAGGGGATGAAAAAATACACTTGAGGACACACAGCAATAGAACCCCAAAACTGAGAGCACAGAGTCCCAGGAGAATGTGATGTAAAGCACAGATGAATGTGTATACCGAAGCCTCAAGGGTTAGTGTACTGGGATTTACCTGCAAGAGGTGACAATCGAGTTTGGCACATGCTGAGTATGTTGGGAAATAATAATATCAAAAGCTATCTGAACCACATCTGTTTAACATATGTACAGCCAACGGGCAGCAAGGCAGGAAAAAGTGTGACTTGCTGGGGGAAACTGACCGTCTGGAAGGCCCGCCAGGGAAGGCCCTGGGCCGAATCCAGAAGGCCCGGCTTGCTCGGGGAGGGGAAAAGGGTGGTCCCGGCCCAGCCAGAAGGTGGGGCCGCCGGGAGAGGGTGGGTCCCCGCAGTGACTGTCCTCGGAGGCCAGGCTGGAGCCCAGCCCAGCTCGAGGATAGCGGGGTGGAGGGACCTGGGGTGGGGACGGACCCCCACTTACGCGAGGGGACCGGGATTGGTGGGGAGGCAGGGGCCTATGGCGGGCTCAGCCAGCCCCGCGGGCGCGTCGTCCCTCCCCCCCCCCCCCGCCCCCGGCCGCCCGCGGCTCACCTGGGCACGCAACTGGACGAGCTCCGGTCCACCTCCCAGGTGGCATACAGATTCATCTGCACCGGGGCGGGGGTGCGGCCTGGCCCCGGGCCGCTGGGAGCCGCGGAGCCCGAGGCCACCGCGACGGCCATGGAAGTGGAGGTGGACGAGGACGACGAGGAGGCAGCCGCCGCCGAGGTGGACGAGGACGACGAGGTGGCCTGGGCCAGCTTGGGGGGCGTCGGCTGCTGAGGCGGCTGCTGCGGCGGCGGCGGCTGCTGCTGAGGGGACTGGGAGACCCCCGAGCCCCGCTGGCCGCTGCCGCCCCCGGAGCCTCCGGGACCACCGCCCGTCCCTCCGCGTTCCGCCATGGTCCTGCAAGGGGTCAGGAAGCGCGGGGCTTACGCACACGGAGGGCCGCCGAGCGGTTCCAGGCGTCCCCCGCGGCGGCGGCGGCGGCTCGGCGTCTCCTCAGCCCGCCCGGCGGAGCGCGAGCCGCCAGCGAGTCTGCACGCACGCGCGGGGCCTCGCGGCGCGCGGCCCTCGCGCTCGCCCGCCGCTGCCTGTTGCGGCCCGCGCGGCCCAGACACTGGGTGGGCGTGTCCGGGGAGCCCGGGCCCGCGGCCCCACCCAGCCCGGGCGCCGAGGGGCGGGGCCTGCGCCCGACCTGCTGTGGGCACGCTTCCCCGCGGTCCGGGAGGGGGCTGCTGCCGAGCCGACCCCCCCCCGATGCCGGGCTTAGGGCGCCGCCCGCTGCCCCCCCCCTTCCTGCCCTCCCCCTGCTCCCCGCCAGGCAGCCGCAGCCCCGCCGGCGGAAACCCCGCTTTTCCGGGGCGCGGCCCCGGCCGGGAAGGGACGGTCGCGGGAGCGCGCTTGGCCCCGGGGAGCCGCCGAGCACCGAGCGCTAGGAGGCGGCTCACCCACCACCCATCTCCGCCCTGCCACTCAGCCTTTTCACCCAGTCGGGGAAGCAGTCCACGCACTGCAAGTTCCCTTCCGAGGGTGGGCCCGGTGAATCCTCATGCTAAGCTCCCTGGTGTCCACAGCCAACCTTTTTCCTCTTCTATGCAACTCCCCTTCCGCGCCTCCCCCACCCCCCCAAAAAAACCTTTCATTGCCAAGTCCCAGAGTGCCTTAGTGTTTTCCCCATTTCTTAAGTCCATTCTCGAGGTAGCCAACTTGAAGTCCTACAACACCCTAAACCCACACTGACTTGTTCCCCAAATGCTCAGCAGATGCTGTGATATCCAGTGGTCCAACCTAGTCAAGCTGCTCAGGACCAGGAGAATCTGGAGAAAGCCAGCCCTCCCCTCCACTTCCCACATCTACCACTGGTGTGGCTTGAACCCAGGGTCTCAGAACAATTTAGATTAGAGCCATGTTTTCTCACAAGGACTGGGTCTCTCTGCCACAGGGTCAATCAGGAAGGCCTGACCTGGCCTACTTCCCCTCCCCACTGTTTACTTCTGCAGCCCAGCAAGGGAGAGCTAAGCTGGCTATTTTTATTCCCCAAGGACAACGCGGTATGGTAAGGTCAAACCGGGCCTTGAGGTACTCCCCCCCAGTGCCTTCCCACAGAGAAGGGTAGGGATGGTAAATTCAATCTCGCCACAGCTTTGGCTTTACTGGGTTCCCACTTCAACACCTTTGCAAATGCCTCCTCCTTCTCACTGGAGCAGGCTCCTCGTAGGAAGATATTCAGTCCTTTTGCAGAGGGGCTAAATGGAGAGAGAGGGAGTGTTCCATATGCCATCTCTTTCCTTGGGAAACAGCTTTATTTACAAAACAGGTCTAAAATAACATGAAATGACAAGCCCTTGGGATGTGCAGGAGAACTGGCTCTTGGAGACCCACGTGTGACGCCCAGGCATCCAAACAAAGGGCCTAAAGGAAAGCTGGCTGTGTAAGGGAGACCTAAAATTTGAATTCCTTGTATTTCTTGCTTCCCCCACGACTGTCCTGCGGCTGGGCTTTCCGTTTCTTTTGCTACAGAAGAGAAAGAGAAAGAAACAAGTTATGGCAGGTTAATCAAATTCCAACCACTAAAACAAGAGGAGCAGCCTGACAGAAGTTGTGGGAAAAGGACTGCACACCAGATCTAGACTGTTCCCACCTCCCACTCCTACATGGATGAGCTCCTTCCCCCTCCTTTGTGCCCAGTGTCAAGTCCCTAAGAGGGAGCTAACTGGAAGATTTCTATGGATTCCAAGGCCTTAAGGAAGCCAGGGCAGCAGACATTTGAGTCCACCCTCATTCTGGCCACTAGAGGGCAAAATTCCCCTGAAAAAATGCTCTTACTCCCGGTTCCCTAGGAACACCCACCTTCTGTTTGGCAGCATGCTCAGCTACCATGTCACTGAAGTCTTCCTTCTCCACTTGAGCCTGTTGCTCCCGGACATGCTCCTCATACTTCTGGGTCATGGCCATTGGGTCCAGCTCCAACTCCTCAGGTGCCAAAGCCACTTCTACACCTTGCAGCTCAGGGGCTGGGCCCTTCCGACTCATAACCTAGAGGAGATAGCAGAGCCTGGTCATCTCCAACGCCTATCTCAAAGACACCAGATATGGTCCCCAGCCCCCAGTGCAGCTTCTTCTAAAATCCTTACCGTGGACATGTCGTAAATATGGGTTGATCCCATCATGGCTCCCCCGACAGTGGCTGTTCTCTTCTCAGGCAACACAGTGAAAAGCTGTGGTGTCTCACTTCTGCAAAGGACAATGGGGTCAAGCCCAAAGAGGGACAAAGGAGCCTCCCGAAAGAAAGCAAAAGAAACAGGTAGCATCTCCAATGAAATCCCGGGGGAGATTCTGAGATTCCTGGGGGACTCAGCCTCCACCATTCACAGAGGCTCACAAGAGAGTTGGATGGGGGGATATATGGCACTGATATCGGGGCTCCGAGCAGGAAGGGAAAGAGACTTATCTAAGTGATAGCTCTCCTCAACCAAGTTAGGGGATCAGTGAGCAGGACTCCTGTATACAAAGAAGGGCCAAAGGTCAAAGATATTAAAGTTTCCTGGAGAACTCTGATACAGAAAAAAGGTTTCAACAGCTCTTACCCCGAAGGGTGCCTGAAGTCTTAATGTATCTAGATCACACTTCCAGCCCTTCCTTCCAAGGGCACAAGAGCCCCCCACAGCCAATCTTATCAATAATTTCAAGGATTATACTGAGGACACAGTAGCAAATCTAACACGCCTTCATCTTCCATACCACACCTTCATCTTCCAGAAGAGGTGACTCTTCACAGACCCTTCACTCAAAGTCCTCTTATAATTTCTGATCATCACTGGAATAAATTCAAACGCCTTACCATGACCTAAAGTGTTCACGCTCTGGTCTTTTACCCAATCTTTCCTTACTACATTCTGTCTGCCATAGCCTTTTATTTATTTTGTGCTAGTATTGGTACTTGAACTCAGGGCCTTAAGCTCATGTTTAACTTTTTTTTTTTTTGTCAGTCATGGGCCTTGAACTCAACCTGGGCACTGCCCCTGAGTTCTTCAGCTCAAGGCGAGCACTCTTACCACTTGAGCCACAGAACCACTTCCTGTTTTCTTGTGGTTAAATGGAGGTAAGAGTCGCACAAGCTTTCCTGCCAAAGCTGGCTATGAACCATGATCCTCAGATCTCAGCTTCTTGAATAGCTATAATAACAGGCATGAGCTACCAGCGCCCGGCTCATGCTTAACTTTCTTGATCATAACCTGCATTCTACCTCTTGAACCATATTTCCAACCCCACTTTTTGCTAATTAGTTAGAGAGGGACTTTAACAGACTTTAGTGCAGGGGATGGCTTCAAACCTCAATCCAAATCTCAGACCCCTGAGCAGCTAGTATTTACAGGTATGAGCCACCAAGAACCTGGCTCACCATACTCTTCCTTTTTCTTCTGAATATGCAAAACTTGAGACTTCTATTTCCTGACAAGGGAGAGACAGGGCCTAAATTAATCTTCCTGCCTGAAATAATCAAAACATGGGCAAAAATAAATGAATCTGTGCTTTTTTTTTTTTTTGGTCAGCCATGGGGTTTGAACTCTGGGCTTGGGTGCTGTCCCTGAGCTCTTCAGCTCAAGGCAAGCACTCTACCACTTGAGCCACAGCATCACTTCCAGTTTTCTGGTGGTTAATTGGAGATAAGAGTCTCACGGACTTTCCTGCCCAGGCTGGCTTTGAACCGTGATCCATAGATCTCAGCCTCCTGAGTAGCTAGGATTACAGGCATGAGCCACCAGCACCCAGCTGAATCAGTGCTTTTCAAAACACTGGACAAGAGGCAAGGAAGGACAGTGGTTTCTGCAAGACAGGAAGCAAATGAGGTGAGCCTTCCAATTGCCCAGCATACCACATAGAGTTTTCTGGCCATAACCAGGAGGCCAACCCATATAGAGCTGAGAGGACTCCATGAGTTGGGTAGAATAGAGAAAGTTCAGAGTGCACAAGACACAAAGAACTCAAGACCCACAGAAGGTCCTCCTCAGATACTCACGGGGAAAAAAGAAAAAGATAAAAGGACTTTTGAGTTCAAGCCCCAGGATCAACAGACACACACACACACCAGCATAAGTTGGGGGCCTGGCTCAAATGATAGAATACTTGCCTAGCAAAATGCAAAACCTTGAATTCAAACCCCTAGCCTGTCCTTCCTATCCCAAAAAGAACAAAGTAGTAGTGAACAGTCAAAAAAAGTCAAAAAACTAGTCCCAATCAGGCACTAGTAGCTCATGCCTGTAATACTAGCTACTAAGGAGGCTGAGATATGACGATCACAATTCAAAGCCAGTCTCAGCAATAAATTACCAAAGAAGCTGGGAACAGCACCCAGGCCCTGAGTTCAAATAACAGGACCAGAAAAAAAAATGGGAGGAGAGAAATAAAGCTCTTAATACTATTAAGAGTTACATAACATTTAAAGATAGACCATGATAAAGATGGATACTATAAAAACTAAAGAAAACACTAAAACAAGAAAAAAAACAGAGTTAATAAGCCAACAAAGGAGATAGAATGGAATCATATATAAAATGTTCAGTGTAAACATACACCAATCAGGCACTAATAGCTCACACTATAATCCTAGCCACTCAGGAGACTAAGATCTGAGGACCACACTTCAAAGCCAGCCTGGGCAAAAAAGTCCCTGAGACTCTTATCTCTAATTAAGCACCAAAAAGCCTAAAATGGAACTGTGACTCAAGTGATGGAGCTTTAACCTTGAGCACAAAAGCCCAGGGACAGGGGCTGGGAAGGTGGCTCAGTGGTAGAGTGCTTGCCTTGCATGCCTGAGGCCCTGGGTTCGATTCCTCAGCACTACATAAGCAAAAAGAAAAAAGCCGGAAGTGGTGCTGTGGCTCAAGTGGTAGAGTGCTAGCCTTGAGCTGAAGAGCTGAAGGGCAGTGCCCAGGCCTAGAGTTCAGACCCCAAACAAAAAAGGGACAGCGCGCGCGCGCGCGCACACACACACACACACACACACACACACACACACACGAGTTTAATAATACAAAAAGTGGTTAAGAAAATACAGAGAGGGGCTGTGAAGGTGGCTCAGTGGTAGAGCGCTTGCCTTGCATGCATGATGCCCTGGGTTCGATTCCTCAGCACCACATAAGCAAAAAGAAAAAAAGCTAGAAGTGGCCCTGTGGCTCAAGTGGTAGAGTGCTAGCCTTGAGCTGAAGAGCTGAGGGACAGCGCCCAGACCCAGAGTTCAGGCCCCACGACCGGACCAAAAAAAAAAAAAAAAGAAAATACAGAGAGACAGCCAGGTGCTGGTGGCTCACACCTGTAATCCTAGCTGCTCAGGTGGCTGAGATCTGAGAATCCTGGTTCAAAGCCAGCCCGGGCAGGAAAGTCTGTGAGACTCTTATCTCCAATAAACCACTAGAAAACCAGAAGTGGTGCTGTGGCTCAAGCGGTAGAGCACTGGCCTTGAGCTGAAGAGCTGAGGGACAGTGCCCAGGCCCAGACAAAAAACAAAAAAGAAAATACACAGAGAGAGAGAGGGAGGGAGAGAGAGAGAGAAAGAGAGAGATCAAAGAACAGAATGGACAAATAGGTCACTTCATGATAACAGGGTCAATTCATGAAGACTTAATCCCACATTCTATGTACCTAAAAATAGTTACCAAATCCATGACTATGCAAACGAAGCCCTTCTCAGTGCCTTTGCACTGGCTTGCACTTACTATCCCTTCTGCTGAGGTAACATGTGTCTGGCTCATTCTTACCATTCCAGCCCAACTCAAACACCTTCTTCTCAAGGAGGCTTTCAAAGACTTCCCCATTACCTTCCTCCCTGTATTCCTCATTCAGTCCCTCTGCTCCATCATCCTTGTCCACACCTGACATTACCCTGTTCTAATTACCCACTTACCTTATCTAGTTTTCATTGCTGACTTCCCACTGGCACAGAGTTGCTAGTTAATAATTACTAAGAAAGCAAAAATGGGCTGAGGCTGCAGATCAGTAGGACAATGCTGACTGAACGTGCCCCAAGCCCTAGGTTCAGTCCCTACTATTACCAACTAAAAAAAACAAGTAAAATTGTTAAACATAGAAACAATGAAGTTCTGATAAAAGGGGGGGGGGGGATCAGCTGTCAACCTAGAGGCTGAAGGCAAGTAAAGTCCTCCCCTCATGGCCTGCCTAGTTCCCTCACCCATCCATGGCCTCCTCAATCTTCTTCTTCCTCAGCTCAATGAGTTCAGGGGTCTCCATTCCTGCTGGCACTGACGAGAATCCTCCAGGAGTGATGAGACCACTGTGAACACAGAGAAGAATAAGCTCTGGAGCAAAGACAAGGCCCCTACACACACATACAGACAGACACACAGCACGGTTAGGGCAGGCGCGCTTCAGCCCCCACCTGTCTGCAGGTGTAATAAAGCCGGTCTCATCAGGTTTGTCTTCATCACTTTCCTCCTCTTCCTCTTCTTCTGAGGACTCTTCATCAGATGGCTCCAGTTCTCCCCAAGGAGTCCGATCAATCTCTTCTTCTTCAGTTTTGGTCTGAAGATCATGCATTCATTTAGCAAACATTTACTAAGTATCTATTAGATGCCAAGCTTTTGTAACCAAAGGGATGGAAGGGTAAAACACAACAATCCCTACTTGTTATTTAGAGCTCCTATTCTACAGGAAAGATACATCACATATTAGAAAAATGCACCCTCTTTTTCAGACTGAAGTTTCAGAAAGCCCAACTCCCTAATAATGAAGCTATGTGACCTTCATGAGATTAAGTAACACCCAGTTCACCTGTACACCCGTACCTGAAATTCAGCAGCATTGGTTCCAAACACATCTCCATAAAGAGGTTTCCCAGTCTCATCTACTGGGGGTTTGCCCCAGCCACCAGCATGGTACCCAAAGGAACAGCTCTGCAGGAGAAAGAGGTGAAACAGTTCCACTCTTCAGCTCGAGAAGAACATGAAGCCCTAGCGAACAATCCTGCTCCAAAATACAGAACTCACACTTGAGAACTCTGGAAATTATGACTGCTGAACAGAGCAAAATGTTATAAGGCACTAGGAGGCAAAATGATAAGCACCAAAACTCTGGAGGCAGTAGAATGAGGGAACAAGAGACAGAGTGTGCAAATGCTAATAACCCCATCCGTCAGTAGTTTGTGCTGCCTAAAACCAAAACAAGGACTTTAAAAACCAAGATTTTAACTTGCTCCTGATTTTTCTTAATTTTGGAAAAGCTGCCTCATTAGCATCTACCTCACTTAAAGGACAGAAATTTTTATCAGAATTTTAGCAATACCAGTTTCCATCTGTTGGCTGTTAATACTTCTTAACACTTTTATTCAGAGGTAATAACTTTCAGGCTGGAAGCAGTGCTCCAGTGATATAATAGCCAGCCAAGCAAGCAAGCAATTGAGCCAAAAGCAAGGCTCTGAGTTCAAGACCCACTACCAGCATAAAACCAGACCTCCTGCTCCCCATTAGCTTTCTTACTCAAGGTCGGCACTCTAACCACTTGAGCCACATCTCTGTTTCTGGTTTTATGCTGGCTAATTGAAGATAAGAAGAGTCTTATGGGCCTTTCTGTCCAGGCTAGCTTCAAACTATGATCCTCAGATCCCAGCCACCAGAGTAGAAAGGATTACAGACATGATCTACTAGCACCTGGCTGAAGAAATAAATGTTTTTGCCATTCTTATGATAAAATTATTTGCCTACTCATACATATCATTAGACAGCTGTCTAGAAATACATGTATTTGTTATTAAATGTAGAGGATTTGGGGGGGAAGAGGTTGAACTCAGGACTTCAGACTTGCTAGGAAGATGATCTACCACTTGAACCATACCCCTAGCCCACTTTTTGCTTTAGTTATTTTTCTCTGATAGAGTCTCACATTTATGCCCAGGGCTGACCTCAAACCACAATCCTCCTATCTTATACCTCCTGAGTAGCTGGGATTTACAGAGGCATGTCCCACCATGTCCAGCCTAGTGGTTGATGGGATCTCAATAACTTTTTGCCCATGTTGGCCACAATCCTATCTCACCTCCCAAAAAGATGATACAACATATAAATAGGCACCATCAAGCCCACCTGGTTATTTTTGGTCAAGTTGTGGGTGAATTGTCATCAACTTTGAATCTTACCAGCTTTTTTAAAAAAGTAAAGATGTTATGATTATTGTAACTATTTTTAAATCAGGACAGAAATTGAAAAGATAAAATTACCCTCTGGTTAAAAAGCAGAGGCAGCCAACCATAGAAGAAAGCATAATACTCACCTCAGGGATGGGCGAGTTCAGCCCAGGGATTTTCAGGTTGGGATAGGAAGGGGGTGGTCCGTATCTCTGCATGGCGATCAGCCATGGGGGAGGAACCTTGTGGGCATTCTGCAGTAAACAGAGAATAAGACATCACTCATGTAGCCCATCCTGTCTCTCACTTCTGCCCCAATTCCCACCCTTTTCCAAGCTTCCCTGCCAGCTAACCAATACTCACTGGTCCTACTGGCATCCCCAAGGAAATCCTCAGCTCATCAGACAGATCTCCAGGCTTCTTCTCCTTCAGTCGTGTCTCAAACTCCTTCCCCTGAGGAAAAAGCACAATCTGCTGTATTGGGGAAGCCAGACAGGCAGAGAGCTCAATGGCATGAGAACACAGAAGAGAAGTCCTAACCCCTATCAGATACAAAATCCCAAGAGGACAACCTGGCTGCCTCCCACTTGGATCCCGGCTAGAGTACAGGAAAGAATAAGGCCAGCCTCTGTGCTACCACTAACCCACTGAGAACAGGGCCAATGACAGCACCTACTTTCTCACCTATCAAATGAGGGCACTGGACAGGACAGGATACCACCAAGCTCTTTCCACTTCATACATCCCATGATACCATGCTGTCTAACATTGCAAGGATCATAATAAAACTTTCCTCCCACTCCTAATATTAAATGTTCCTGTAAAACACCTGTCATTTTGACACTTGGTTCCTAAACCCAACCAAACTATTATAAGTCCGAAGACATAGTCAGCATGTTTCCTCTGAAAAAGGACTTCATTTAAAAATTTTAGCTGGCACCAGTGGCTCACACCTGTCATCCTAGCTACTAAAGAGGCTGAGATCAGAGGATCGCAGTTTGAAGTTAGCCTGGGCAGCAAAGTCCTTGAGACTCTTGTCTCCAATTAATCACAGAAAAAACTGGAAAGTGGTGCTGTGACTCAAATGGTAGAGTGCTAGCTTTGAGTAAAAGGAGCTTAGGGACAGAACCCAGAGCCAGAGTTCAAGGCCCAGGACTAGCAAAAATAATAAGTAAACAAATAATTTATTTCAGCCTCCATTATATCCAAGAGTAGTAAGCCCACTATTTTAAGAATGGGGGCCACATACTAGCTTTAAAAGCCTTCTTATCAACAGTTCCACGGTCATGACCAGACTCAGCCCTGCGACCCCCCAGACCCCATCACAAACCTCATAGTACAAGTCTCCATGGATGGTCAGCTTTGGCTTGGTCTGCCATTTAAAGAAAGCATCGTGAAGTTTCTGGTAGTCAATGTCAATCTTTCCCATCTTGGGCCGAACCTTCTCTCGCATTTTTGACTTCATGGTCTTCTGTTCTTCCTGTGAAAAATGTAATACAAGTTAACAGACATTCGCCAAACTTTTACTAGTCGATCTGTCTCTGAACTCCCAAGAGATTAAAAGGAAATCTCATTTTTATTTCCCCCGAAAGTCATTAAAATCCATCCTGCTCAAGACTCTCCAAATGATAGAATATGATGAACGAGAGGTACAACTCGTGGTAGGGCACATAGTTGGCATCCCAAAACCAGTGTCATAATCCATGCTGTACATAAAATAGATTACTTATACAAAATCAGTCTAAGGGCTCTATGTCCTTGAGACTTGAACTCAGGGCCTGCACACTGTGCCTGAGATTTTTTGCTTAAAGCCACAGCTCCACTTCCAGCTTTTTGGTCGTGAATTGGAGGTATAAGTCTCAAAGACTTTCCTGGGCTGGCTTCAAACTGCAATCCTCAAATATCAGCCTCCTGAATAGTGAGGATTATAGGTATGAATCACTGGCACCCAGCTAACTAGTACTTAAAAGTATTTAACTAAACCCTTTAAACTTAGTAAGTTAAACAACCACTATGAATCTCTAGCCACCAGTGCACCAGAGAAAGGAATCCCCATGTGAGTTGGCCAAGCACAGGTAGAGAGGAGAGTGGAGGAGGAAAACAGCTACTCAGGACCAGAGGACTCAGCACGAGGTAGAAGAGATCTCTCCCTTTCCTGCATCTTTCTCCTCCTGCTTCCTGCCAAATGCCCCACAGAGTATAGTTCTAAACTGAAGAAGAGTAACAAGTACTTGGGAGTTTTAGGGAGAGCCAATTCAAATTTTGCACCAAGCTGCCAGGAAGAGCATGGGTGCTGCACCCCCACCAGGCCTCACCTTCTCCTGGAGGGCCTCCCGCATCTCCTGGATGCCTGTGCGTTTGATGAAGTCTGGCAGCTCAAAGGGGGGCTTTTCAATGCCCCGTTTGCCCTGCAAGTACTTGCGCTTAAAACACCAGTGGCGGGGCACAGGCACAGAGTTCCGGGTAGCCTTGAGGTGAACCAACAGCTTTGGGTCCTGTGCTGTTACATCATGCATCTCCACGACATCAGGCCGAGCCACCAGCTGGAAAACAAGACATGACTTTAGAAATGCCTGATTCTCTTTTCCCCAGAGGACCCAGTATCTTGCCCAAGTCTCCACCAAAGTTGACCCATCGTTGGGTCCAAGAGCACCTCACATGAGCTCCCAGCTAGACTCCAGGGCCTGGGCCATCTCAGGTCTTACCTGTTTCAGTTCAGCCACAGTAAAGCGATTCATTCGGCGCAACTTCTTTTTGGACAGCTTAGGGGCCTCTGGCTTCTTTTCCTAAGATAGAAAGATCATCTCTTCAGAGCAGGACTCAGCTAGGAATCAAATTACCCAGGCCACCCCAACACTTAAGCCACAAAGGTCCTGCAAGGTTTCATCACAGTTCCCCACAAGAGGCACCTCAGCCACCCGTGCCCAAGATCACTGTTTGCAGCCATAAGGAGGCGAGCCTGACCTGTTCGTCATCACTGCTGTCATCATCGCTGTCCTTGTGCTCCTCCTCAAAGCCCTTCTTCTTGGGGACTGTAGAATTCTCCATTTTGTCCAGTTTCTCTGGCTCCTTCTCTTTCTCCTTCTTCACGTCATCAGTGAGCTGAGGAGGCAGATCATGGGGAAACCCCAGAACTTTTTAGTCCCTCCCCTCATTTCTAACCCCTGTGCTAAAATGCAACACTGTCTCCAAGCCTGACCCACCATTCCCCTATTGAGTTTGGCCCCACTCAAAACATGCCGCTCCTTTTACCTTGAAAGCCTCAAAAATCCTCTTGAAGAAGATAAAGTTGGGCTCATAGATCTCAGGTTCTTCAGTCACATACTCAATCTCCACATCAGCGGCTGGAGAGTCAGAACCTCGGGACCGGGAGGAGTCCTTCTCTCGGTCTCCAGAGCTCTCAGAGGATGCAGCCCGCACCCTCTGGGGCTTTTTCTTCTTCTTCCGATTCCTACGCTTCCGGTTTTTCTGTCAAGGCAAAGAAAAACTACGTGGATCAAAGAACCCAAGCTGCATATCTGATTGACCTGTCTGTATGCCCTAACGACAGTTCAGCACTGTCTTCCCCTGAGGAGGCAGTCTCGTGAAGCATCTATGAAGAAACCGTGGAGGCAGGCTCTGAAGTTCTGCCTCTGGAGTTCACTAGTACCTTTGGCTAAGTGATTATACTCTCAGAACTTCAGCTTTTTCAACTGTAAAATCAGTGTGCAGAAGAGATTGATACCTGCAAGATGCTAAGGATAGGATTGGGCACAAATATCATAATTACTACTTACTGACCACTTATAATTAGCTACTTTAATCCCACCCTTCCAAACCAGCTCCATCATGTACCTCCTTTTTAGACATAGACATCGTGTCCTCCTCAGTCTCTGATGCTGACTGGCCCAGGGACGACCGATTGTCTGTTTCCATTTCCTCTTCCTCTGTCAGAGAAGAAGGTAGCAATCAAGTGTCCTCACAGTGCCCCTTCCCTGCTCACAGGAACTTCACAATAACTTCTCTTTGCCAAGAGCTGGTTGCTCTCTAGACCCTTCTCAGGGAAGGCATGAAGGAATGAGGATGCAGCCCAGGCTTCCAGCTCTGAGGCTGCAACTTCGGACACACCAACACTCACCCTGCTGAGAGTTCATCTCTTCTTGGCGACTCTCCTTCAGCTGCAAGATCTTCTCCAAAGCTTGGGGGATCTTGGGGCCCACAGAAGGATCATCCATCTGCCAGAGACAACCCAGTCAAAGGGGCTGAGTCACAGTACACTTTCTTTTCTTATTTTTCATTATGTTTTTTAAATTGTGAAAATACTGTACAGAAGGTTACAATTACATGAGCAAGGTAATGAGTCTATTTCTTATCAAGCGTTGTTGTCTCCTCCTTTGTTTCCCCTTACCATCCCTTCCCATCCCCCGCCCCCCAGTACACTTTCTAATCCAATTCTAACCTTCCTGTTCTATTATAAAAATTGCCAGTCCTTTTTTTTTTTTTCCGTCAGTCATGGGGCTTGAACTTTGGGCTTGGGCACTGTCCCTGTGCTCTTCAGCTCAAAGTGAGCGCTCTACCTCTTGAGCCACAGCGCCACTTCCGGTTTTCTAGTGGTTTATTGGAGATAAAAGTCTCATGGACTTTTCTACCCGGGCTGGCTTTGAATCATGATCCTCAGATCTCTGCCTCCTGAGTAGCTAGGATTATAGGTGTGAGCCACTGTCGCCCAGCTTTAAAAATTGCCAGTCTTGACAGACATAGCACAAATGAAGGGGGAAGAACCAAATGAACTCAATGAGGTTCTGCATCCCCCAAAGATTACCCCAAATTCAGTTCAAATTCAGAGGGATCTCTCTCAGGTCCCTCTGCTCTATAGTATAGGTATTTTCATTAAGAATGGCTTTCCCATGAAGCTGGGAATGTGGCTTAGTGGTAGAGTGCTTGCCTAGCATGTATAAAACCCTGGGCTCGACTCCTCAGTACCATATAAGCAGAAAAAGCCAGAAGTGACACTGTGGCTCAAGTGGTAGAGTGCTAACCTTGAGCAAAAGAAGCTCAGGGACAATGCCCAGGCTGAGTTCAAGCCCCAAAACTGACCAAAAAAAAAAAAAGGCTTCACATACTTACTTAATGGGAAAGACCCTTAAGAATTTTAAATTGAGCTGGGCACTGGTGGCTCATGCCTGTAATCCTAGCTACTCAGGAGGCTGAAATCTGTGGATCACAGTTCAAAGCCAGCCTGGGCGGGAAAGTCCGTGAGACTTTTTTTTTTTTTTTTTTTGGTCCGGTCGTGGAGCCTGAACTCTGGGCCTGGGCGCTGTCCCTCAGCTTTTCAGCTCAAGGCTAGTGCTCTACCACTTGAGCCACAGCGCCACTTCCGGCTTTTTGCTTATGTGGTGCTGAGGAATCGAACCCAGGGCCTCATGCATGCAAGGCAAGCACTCTACCACTGAGCCACCTTCCCAGCCCGTCCGTGAGACTCTTATCTCCAATAAACCACTAGAAATCCAGAAGTGGCGCTTGTGGCTCAAGCGGTAGCCTTGAGCTGAAGAGCACTGGGGCAGCGCCCAAGCCCAGAGCCAGAGTTCAAGCCCCACGACTGACCAAAAAGAAAAAAAGAATTTTAAGTTGTTGCTGGAGGCTGGTGGCTCATGCCTATAATCCCAGCCACTCAGGAAGCTGAGATCTGAGGAACATGGTTCAAAGCCAGCCTGGGCAGAAAAGTATATGAGATTCTTTTTTTTTCTTTTTTTTGGGTCCAGTCATGGGGCCTGAACTCTGGGCCTGGGCGCTGTCCCTCAGCTCTTCAGCTCAAGGCTAATGCCCTACCACTTGAGCTACAGCGCCACTTCCGGCTTTTTTCTTTCTTTTTTTTTTTTTTGTCAGTTGTGGGGCTTGAACTCTGGGCCTGGGCACTGTCCCTCAGCTCTTCAGCTCAAGGCGAGTGCTCTACCACTTGAGCTACAGCGCCACTTCCGGTTTTCTGTTGGTTTATTGGAGATAGGAGTCTCACAGTCTTTCTTACCCGGGCTGGCTTTGAACCACGATCCTCAGATCTCAGCCTCCTGAGTAGCTAGGATTACAGGCGTGAGCCACCAGCGCCCAGCTCCGGCTTTTTTCTTATGTGGTGCTGAGGAATCGAACCCAGGGCCTCAGGCATGCAAGGCAAGCGCACTACCACTGAGCCACCTTCCCAGCCCTGTATGAGATTCTTATCTCCACCACTAGAAAGCTGGAAATGGTGCTGTGGCTCAAGTCGTAGAGCACTAGCTTTGAGCTGAAGAGCTAAAGGACAGAGCCCAGGCCGAGTTCAAGCCCCACAACCAACAAAAAAAAAAAAAATTTAAGTTGTTCCCAAACCCTCCAAATTTTCTCAGACTCTTCTATTCTTGTCTTTCTTTTTTTTTTAGGTCCCAGCCCAGGACTCAAACTCAATACCTGATGCTTTTGCTCATTGGCTAGCATTCTCCCAACTGAGCCAAGCCTCCAACCCCTCTGAGACACTTCTAATATACTGACAATGTTTGCTTCCAATCAACTACACCCTTCCTTACACCCGTCCTTCCTAGGGAGGAGGCAATCATCAATCTCAGGCTGGGGATGTAGCTCAGCAGTAGAGAGCTTGCGTAGCACGTATCCTAGATTCTAACTCTAGCCTACACACACAAAGAAATCATCACTCACCTCTCTGTTCTCATCTCCAGGAGGTGGCGGGGGACCACGAGGCCGGGGAACAGGGACGCCCATGGGCAAAACAGTGGCAGCAGGACCCACTGGGCCTACTGGAGCAGCTACTGTGAAAAGGAAGAAGTCCAATGTCAAAAGAGACAAAACACTCCATTAAAAACAATTACCTCCCCAACTATCACCAAGATCAAACAAAACAAAAAACAAAATAACAAGTTGCCTTCTTTGCTAATCATCAATGTGCTAGCTTTAGGGCAGGCAATGATAGGAATAGAGTCTAAGGATACTCCACCCAAATTCACTCAATTGTACATTTATTGTATGTGAACTTTTAGTTGTTTGTTTTTGTTTTTTTTGGTCAGTCGTGGGACTTGAACTCTGGGCCTGGGCCCTGTCCCTCAGCTCTTCAGCTCAAGGCGAGCACTCTACCACTTGAGCTACAGCGCTACTTCCTAGTTATTTTTTTTACTGAGGCTTGAAATCAGGGCCTGGGAACTGTCCCTGAGCTTTTCCACTCAAGGCTGGTGCTCTACTACTTGAGCCACAGCTCCATATTTGGATTTTTTTTCTGCCCCGGCTAGCTTCAAACCTGGATCCTCAGATCTCAACCTTCTAGCTAGTAGTAGTACACATGGGAATGAGACAGCAACTCCTGACTGTATGAACTCAAGTTCTTAATATAAAAGTAGCAAGGTACTAACATACAACCTACTAAATCTGTACTAAATCATCTCTATACCACTTATAATACCCAACATGTTATATAAATAGCTGCTCTACTGTTTTAGAGAATGATAGGAAAAAAAAAAACCTAGCCAGGCACCAATGGCTCACACCTGTAATCCTAGCTACTCAGGAGGCTGAGATCTGAGGTGATATCAGTTCAAAGCCAGACCAGAGAAGGAACCTCTGTGTGGCACTGTGGCTCAAGTGGTAGAGCGCTAGCCTTGAGCTGAAGAGCTGAGGGACTGCATCTAGGCCCAGAGTTCAAGCCCCACAACTGACAAAAAAAAAACTACATGTACAATGCAAATGCAATGTAGAAGCAACTGATACAAAGGACCTACTGTACTTAAAATTTTTTAACTGGACAGTAGTAGCTCACGCCACAATCCCAGCTACTTGGTAGGCCAAGAGTGGGAGGTTCGTAGTTAAGGCCAGGCCCGGCAGTAAAGTTCACAGTATTCTTGTTTTGCTGTGCTAGTACCAGGACTGGAATTCAGGGCCTCTTGTCTCACTCCACTCTGCATTTTTGTTCACAGCTGGTTCACGTGAGCCACACCTTTAGCCCACCCAGCTTTTGGCTAGTTAACTAAAGATAAAATCTCAGACTTTTCTGCTCAGGCTGACCTCAAACCTCAATCTTGACATCTCAGTCTCCTAAATAGCTAGGCTTACAGGCAAGAGCCACTGACACCTGATTTAAGACCCCTTCAAGAGGTGGGCATAACCGCTGATGGGAATACAAACTAGCACAACCACACTGGAAAGCGGTCTGAAGGTTCCTCAAAAAATTAAACATAGGGTTGAGAATGTGGCTTAGTGGTATGAAGCCCTAGGTTCCGTTCCCCAGTACCACATAAACAGAAAAAGCTGGAAATGGCACTGTGGCTCAAGTGGTAGAGTACTAGTCTTGAGCAAAAAAAGCTCAAGGACAGTGCCTAGACCCTAACTTAAAGCCCCAGGACTGGAAAAAATATATGTAATAATAATAAATAAACATACTCCTTAGCCAGGCACTGGTGGCTCACGCCCGTAATCCTAGCTACTCAGGAGGCTGAGATCTGAGAATCACAGTTCAAAGCCAGCCCAGGCAGGAAAGACCATGAGACTCCTATCTCTAATAAACCACCAGAAAACCAGAAGTGGCGCTGTAGCTCAAGTGGTAGAGCGCTTGCCTTGAGCTGAAGAGCTGAAGGACAGTGCCCAGGCCCAGAGTTCAAGCCCCATGACCGACAAATAAAAATAAAAATAAATAAACATACACCTTCTCTACAACCCAGTCCTACACTCCTAGGTATGACCCTGAGTGTCATGAACCACCATATGACAAGGACACCTGCACATCCATGTTCAATGCCACACTATTCACAATAGCCAAAAATATGGAAACAACCCAGCTGCCCCATAATAGATGAGTGGATGCAAATACTGTGGTACCTCCATACAACAGAATTTTACACAGCCCTTAGAAAGAATAAAATAATGTCATTTGCAGGGAAATAGATGGAACTAGAACAAATCATGTTAAGTGAGGTAAGCCAAGATTAGAGAGACAAACAGCACATGTTCTCTCTGATATGCAGAAGTTAAGATCTAAAATACAAGGGAAGCCAGGCGCCATTGGCTCACGCCTATAATCCTAGCTACTCAGGAGGCCAAGATCTGAGGATCAAGGTTCAAAGCCAGCCTGGGCAGAAAAGTCCCCGAGACATTTTATTTCCAATTAACGACTCCAAAATTTAACAAGTTGCTGGGTGCTGGTGGCTCACACCTATAATCCTAGCTACTAAGGAGGCTGAAATCTGAGGATTACAGTTCAAAGCCTACCCGGACAGAAAAGTCCCTGAGACTCTTACCTCCAATAAACCACCAGAAAACCGAAGGGGCACTATAGCTCAAGTGGTGGAGCACACTAGCCTTGAACTGAAGAGCTAAGGGACAGTGCCCAGGCCCAGAGTTCAATCCCCATGACCGACAAAAAGAAAAAAAAAGGGAGGGGGGGGCTGGGAAGGTGGCTCAGTGGTAGAGCGCTTGCCTTGCATGCATGAGGCCCTGGGTTCGATTCCTCAGCACCACATAAGCAAAAAGAAAAAAGCCGGAAGTGGCACTGTGGCTCAAGTGGTAGAGCGCTAGCCTTGAACTGAAGAGCTGAGGGACAGTGCCCAGGCCCAGAGTTCAGGCCCCACGACCGGACCCAAGGAAAATAAAAAACAAAAAAACACAATGGCACTTTGGTTCAAGTGGCAGATCTAGTGAGCACAAAAAGGCTCAGGGATAGGACCCAGGCCCTGAGTTCAAGCCCCACAACTGACAAAAGAAAATACAACTGAAGGTATGACTCAGTGGTAAGAGTTCTTGCCTAAAGTTAAGGACCTAAGTTCAAATCCCAGTACTGTCAAAAAAAGTTTCTAACAAGTTAAGAATATAGTTGAATGTTAAGCACATGCTTAGCATACTCAAGGCCCTAAGTTCAGTACTCAGCACCGAGAAAACTTTTAAAATAAGTTTCTTGTTCTCTTCTCTCCTCTTCTCTTCTCCAGGGTCTTACCTCGTGGACCCAAAGGAGTACGAACAGCAATCTGACCCATGTCTTGTGGGGGCCGAGGGACTGGGGTGCCCATCTTGGCAATCTCCTGCTGCCGCTCCTGCTCCAGTAGCACAGCTGCCTGTAGGAGAAAAATGGGAGCAGAAACAGACAATCCATTTGGCAACAGCCCCTAGCAAATATACTCTCTCAGCCAAATAATAAGCGCAAGGAAAATAATCAGAAACCACCCAGGTACACATCTCCTCCATCCCACTTTCAGGCTACTGATCAAACCAGAGAAGCCCCTCTTTCTCATCATGACCGAAAATCCCTGGAAATATGACCAAGGGAAACCCCTTGAAAATTTCTGGTTCCTAGAAGAGAATTTACTGTTAAGCTAAATGCTGCTTTCTTACTTTTCTTGCTTTTATTTATTTGTTTTTATTTATTTATTTATCTCTTGGAAGCTGGTCCTGGAGGCTTGAATTCAGGGTTTGGATGTTTTTTCCTGAGCTTCTTTTGCTCAAGACTAGTGCTCTCCCACTTGAACCACACCTCTACTTCTGGCTTTTTCTTGGGTCGTTTATTGGAGATAAAAGAGTCTCACGGACTTTCCTGCCCAAGCTGGCTTTAAACCGCAACCCTCAGATCTCAGCCTCCTGAGTAGCTAGGTTTACAGGCATGAGCCACTGGCGCCTGACTGCTTCCTTCTATTTTTCGGTAAGTTTTCTTCTATTTAAAAAGAACTATGAATTATTTTCCTATAGTTACTCTGACATTTGCCACAATCAAGGCAAAGCCAGTATTTCATACATTTTTTTCCATATACGCTGTTTTTTTTGTTTTTGGGTCCGGTCGTGGGGCCTGAACTCTGGGCCTGGGCACTGTCCCTCAGCTCTTCAGCTCAAGGCTAGCGCTCTACCACTTGAGCCACAGCGTCACTTCCGGCTTTTTTCTTTTTGCTTATGTGGTGCTGAGGAATCGAACCCAGGGCCTCAGGCATGCAAGGCAAGCGCTTTAACCACTGAGCCACCTTCTCCATATATGCTGTTTTTAATGTTTGTTTTCTAATACTTATGAACAACTCAATGGGTAACAACTGACATAGTTCAATGTGGGACAGAACACTTTTACATCATTCCCAAACTTATCCTCATCATACTTAGTCTAAATCTAATACAAATCACAAAATACCCCCAGAAGCCTCTTCAAGGTACCTAAAACTAACAGGAGTCAGCAAACATTTTTTGTAATGGGCCATTTTTTTTATAATATGGAGCTATATATCCTTGGTTTGAGTTGTGATTTTTGTTGTTTGTTTGTTTTGTTTAATCACAACTCTTTAAAAATATAAATACTATTTTTAGTTTATAGGACATAAAAAAGACTACAGCCTATATGTAGTCTGCTAACCTCTTGACTAGGAAAAATAAGATTCTTTTTTTTTTTTTTTTGGTTGGTCATGGGGCTTGAACTCTGGGCCTGGGCGCTGTCCCTCAGCTCTTCAGCTCAAGGCGAGCGCTCTACCACTCGAGCTACAGCGCCATTTCCAGTTTTCTGGTGGTTTACTGGAGATAGGAGTCTCACAGTCTCTCCTGCCCGGGCTGGCTTTGAACTGCGATCCTCAGATCTCAGCCTGCTGAGTAGCTAGGATTACAGGCGTGAGCCACCAGCGCCTGGCAAAAATAAGATTCTTTCGGACATACTGGAGCTTAGCTGGGGATAACTTAGCCACCAAGAAAAAACTTGAAATAATGCATCTGTTTTGGACCCTAATCACTGTTAAGTGACATCCTATGGAGAGGACTATGAGGTCAAAAAGTTAGGGGGAAGGGCATTACCCACTTCTGCTGCTCCAAAAGCTCATGTTCCTTCAATGAATGATCTCCCTGCTTAAAATTAAAACAAGCTCATACCAGAACCAAGATGACCCAAGCCAATCTGCCACAACTCTAACTTCCTGGTGTCCTCTTCTAGCATAAAATCTATGTTCAACTCTTTGCTCGCGATCTTCCTAAAAGCCTTGACTCCAGGATCCAGCTCTCTGAGGCTCTATCTACCTGTTCACGACCTAATAAGGCTCAGGTGCAGGCTTCTACCTGTTTGGCACGTTCCTCTTGCTGCATCAGTAGAGCTGCCTGCTGCTGGGCCAACTTCAGACGCTCCTCCTCTGACAGTGCCACGGGTTCACCCACACGGAGAGGAGGTGGGGGTCCCAAATTTGGCGGGTGAGCCATAGGAAAGCCAAGGCCAAGCCCTGGTGGAGGTGGTGGGGGTGGTGGAGGAGGCTGCAGAGGGGGAAGTCCCATGGGTGGTGGTGGCATGGGAATCCCAGAGAGCTGTGGAAAAAATATGACCATCAACTAGGATGCATTTACCTATTTGTTCTGCAAACACTTCCTGGGGATCTAGCAAATAAGCCATGTACTGAAATGCAAAGCCAAATGAACATAATTCCATAATGCCCCATAACAATAACAAGGAAAGAGAATGTTGACTTTGGGATACCAACCAAAGAAAACTATCAGTTCTTTCCACAGAAAATTATCATGAACACATATTTTGCATTCAATTTCAAGAGGCTTAGTGGCACCTCTAAAAACCATCACAGGTTAAGAATGTGGCTTAGGTATGCTTGCCTAGAATGCATGAAGCCCTGGGTTCCATTCCTCAGTACCACATCAACAGAAAAAGCCAGAAGTGGCACTGTGGCTCAAGTGATAGAGTAACAGCATTGAGCAAAAGAAGCTCAGGGACAGTGCCCGGGCCCTGACTTCAAGCCCCATAACTGGCAAGAAAATAAATAAATAAATAATAAAAATTATCACACACAGACCAATGAAACCCTGGTTAATCACTGCTTTGGAGAAACAGAATTAAATTTGAGGTACAACCAAAGAAAGTTATTAATTCTCTCCCAAAAAAACTACCCTGAGCATGTATTTCACATTCAATTTTTTTTTTTTGGGGGGGGGGGTCGGTCGTGGGGCCTGAACTCTGTCTCTCAGCTCCTCAGCTCAAAGGCTAGTGCTCTACCACTTGAGTCACAGTGCCACTTCCAGTTTTTTCTGCTTATGTAGTGCTGAGGAAGCAAACCCAGGGCCTCATGCATGCAAGGCAACCACTCTACCACTGAGCCACCTTCCCAGCCCTCACGTTCAATTTTAGAAGGCTCAGTGCACCTCTAAAAACCATCACATAAAGAGATCAATGTATCCCAAGTCAGTGACTGCTTTGGAGAAAGAAAATAAGATCTAGAATCAGAAAAGATAAGGAGGGGGGCTGGGAAGATGGCTCAGTGGTAGAGCACTTGCCTTGCATGCATGAGGCCCTGGGTTCAATTCCTCAGCACCACATAAGCAAAAAGGAAAAAAAAAAAAGCCGGAAGTGGCTCAAGTGGTAGAGCGCTAGCCTTGAGCTAAAGAGCTGAGGGACAGCACCCAGGCCTAGAGTTCAGGCCCCACAACCGGACCCAAAAAAAAGAGCTTAGGGAAAGCACCCAAAGCCAGAGTTCAAGCCCCAGAATTGGCAAAAAGTGAAAATTTTAAAAGACTGCTGGCACTGGTGACTCATGTCTATAATCCTAGCTACTCAGGAGGCTGAGATCTGAGGATCACAGTTCAAAGCCAGCCTGGGCAGGAAAGTCTGAGATTCTTATCTCCAATTAACCACCAGAAAACCAGAAGTGGGCTATGGCTCAAGTGGTAGCACACTGGTCTTGAGCTGAAGAGCTCGGGGACAGCATCCAGACCCAGAGTTCAAGACCCATGATGGACCAAGAAAAAAAAAAGTAATGAGCACCCAATCCTGTCATTGCAAGACCTCCCTGCCCCATCTACTAGTTGTCACCCCACTACAGTGCATGTGAGAGGAGGGACTACTCTGACCAGAACAGATTCTGTAATGTAGAACAACTCCCTACAAAAGGCCAATAAACACATGAGGAAATGCTCAACATCCTTGGCTATAAAGGAAAAGCAAACCAAACGACATTGAGATTCCATCTCATCACCATTAAGATTGGATGGTGAATTGGTTTTTTTGGGTTTTTGGGGGTTTTTTTTGTTTTTTTTTTTTCGGTCATGGGTCCTGAACTCGGCTTAGTTGCATGCTGTCCCTTAGCTCTTCAGCTCAAGGCTAGTGCTCTGCCACTTGAGCCACAGGGCCATTTCCAGCTTTTTCTACACATGTGATACTGAGGAATCAAACCCAGGGCCTCATGCATGCAAGGCAAGCACTCTACCACTAAGCCACCTTCCCAGCCCCAACACTAAGAATTTGAACAATACCAAATGCTGGCAGAGGAAAGGGGAGGGGATAAACCCTACTGCACTGCAGGTGGGAATGTATGCTAGTACACTCACTCTGGAGGGCAGTTTGGAGATTCTTCCAAAAACTAAAATAGAACTACCCTATGATCTGATCAAGCCATACCATTATTGGGCATCAACTCAGAACATCATAATTCATGATATAGTAAAAATGCTTGCACATCCATGTTCACTGCTGCACTATTCATAATAGCCCAAGTTATGAAAACAGCCCAGATGCCCTCCAATAAATGAGTGGATCAAAAAATAGTGGTAATAATGCACAATGGAATTTTACTCATCCACCAGAAAGAATATTGTATCATTTTCAGGGAAATGAATATACTCAAAACAAATTATGTTAAGTGAAGTAAGCCAACTCAGAGAGACAAGTGATATGTGTTTTCACTCCTATATGAAAGCTAGATCTAAAATACAACTAAACATGATAACTTATACAGAGTTTTATGTATTTACACACAAAACAAACTGACAAAAGGAAGATATACAAATTTGAGGAATCCAAAGGCTTACATCTTCTGAACATCAATAAAATATGTTATTAATGAAAACAAATTCTAAGAAATGGAAACTGGAGGGGGGGATTTTTCTTCTTTTTGGGGTGTGGGTAAAGGAGGGGCACAAGTGGAAGAAAGAAGAACAGATAAATGCACTCATTGTATTCAGTATACACTATGTAAACAACTGAACTATGTAACTTGTGTGTAGGGATGGGAGGCGGAAAAAATGGGAAAAAGCAAAGAAAGGGGTGCCCAAGCAGCACTGTACAAATGACTTACGAAATCGTAACTCCTTTGTACAACTCCTTAAAAATAACAATTAAAAAAAGGAGAGGGGCTGGGTATATAGCTTGGTAGAGTGCTTGCCTAGCATGCATGAAGTCCTCAGTTCGATTTCTCAATACTGCATAAACAGAAAAACCCGAGAGTGGCTCTGTGGTTCAGGTGGTAGAGCACCCGCCTTGAGCAAAAGAAGCTCAGGGGCAGTGCCTAGGTCCTGAGTTCAAGCCCCAAGACTGGCAAGAAAAAAAAAAAAAGTAGAACTTTCTTACCTGTGCTGACATGGGAGGGGGAGCAGATTTGTCCCCATCCTCCCCTCTCAAAACTGGCCGATTCAGCACGATGCCAGTCTGCAAAAGAAAAAAAGTCCTACAGGAGCTGTTCCACTAAACGATCTTCTCTCCTATTTATTCACCGGGGGGGGGGGGGGGGGGGGGGAAGGAACACAAACAATATGGGCAGTAGCGCTTTCAACAAAGCAGGCAAAAAAAGCAAGAGCACAGAAAAAGTCAGGTGGCCGACTACAGCGGAAACACACAAAAGCACGACAAAAGCACGAAGATCCAGCTGTACGAGGTCTTGCAGGCCTCCAAGCGCTCTGCTATCCAGGAGTGCCGCAACCACTCACCTGGCGAGTGTAGGACTGCAGCCGCTCTACCAGCTCCTCCCGACTCCCTGTGGAGCGAAGCACACGATCAATGTGGGGACGAGCCAAACTGGGGTAGAGCGGCCAGGGCAGGGCAGGGCAGGCCTCAGCGGCGCGCCACTGCCATTCCGCCCCCCCACTCCTCCGTGTCACCCGGGTAACCAGGCTCCGCTTCTCCACTGGCCTGTCCGTCCCGTCTTGACTTCCCATGCTACTCACCCTGGATCGGAGCTCCGATCTCTGCCAGTTTGGCTTGAAGTTCCTGGGCAGCCCAAGCGCCATAGTGGCCCGGAGGTGGAGGCGGCGGCAACTGCAATTCCCCTTTGGGAGGCTCAGGATGCTCGGCCGCCATCTTAGCCACAGGAAGGCGCGCGACCAACCCGGAAGCTCGAGCCAGTCTCTGGGCCTACTGCCCGGAACTTCCGATAGCGTTGTAGCCAAGTCCTCTCTGTGATTGGAAGGCAGTTTAGATTGGCACCGCCTCCTGCTGTCTTCCGGAAGACATGATTCGCCGTGGAAGCGCCGTAGACGGATCTGGCCGCGAAGCCTTCTGGGAATTGTAGGACGCGAGTCACCGTCTACACGGGCCCAAATTCCCGAGAACCAATTTACGCTACTGCCCCCGTGAACACTGGTGGCGGAGTAGGACTGGCTGCGTGGAGAGCCGCCCTCAAAGCGTGCTTCCTTTGTCTCAGTCTCACCTGCACGAGCCTAGACTCGGTCTTCCTGCCCGACACCCTGGTCCAGCGAGAGACTCGGACGTTTAGATCCCCTGGGAGCCCTGGAGGTTTTTGCTGAGAACGGGGGGGGGGGGGGGGGGGGGGGGGGGGTCGAAAAGATTCGATGGCCGCTGTTTGCAGGCGCCAGGCAGGAGGTGGGGGCGGATGCCTCTGATAAAACAGTGTCTGATTGTCTGCCTGCCCACCCCCGACCCAAGCAAGGATGAATGGGTGAAAGGGGATCGGAGCCGGGAAAGGAACGGCCCCGCCAGGCTGAGCTCCAGCTGCCGACCTGGGGGAAGGGCGACATTAAAGCCAGCCTTTCCCCCCCCACCCCCCCTTCAGGCTGAAATGTGCTCTCCTCTTTTCCGTTTCCGAATTTCCTCCCCATATACAATTTTCCACCTTTTTGTTTTAAAGACAAGATGTTTAACCCAAGCTGGCCTCCAACTGGCGATCCTTCTGCCTCAGCCTCCCAGTGCTGGGATTACAAGTGTGCCTCACCATGTCAGGCTTTCTTTTTAATTCTTTCTTGCCATCGCCAAACCCCAAAATGGGGCCAGGCCCTTTTTTCTGTCTCACAGTACTAAGACGAGCTTAATAAAGGATTAATGTTAAAAATAAAAAATGCACCTACAAGAGAAGGTGCAGGATTTGTATCTGTGTGTGTGTGTGTGTATGAGAGAGAGAGAGACCAGTACTGGGGTTTGAATTCAGAGCCTGGGCACTGTCCCTTAGCTTATTCCCTCAAAGGTAGCGCCCTAGCACTTGAGCCACCTTTCCACTATTGGCTTTTTGGTGATAGATAACTGGAGATAGGAGTCTTATTATGGACTTCCCTGCCTGATTTGGCTTCAAACTGCAGATCCTCAGATTTCAGCCTCCTGAGTAGCTAACATTACAGGTGTAAGCCACTGGCACCCAGACTTTTTTCTTTCTTTCTTCCTTTCTTCCTTCCTTTCTTTCTTTTTCTTTCTTTTTTTTTTTTTTTGCTTGAAAATAATCTCAGGATTAATAATCTCTGAGGTGACTCGTTTGTGGATGTGTACTTTGCATTAGCGAAAGGAAAACAAATTTAATGGTCTGATTTTTTTTTTTCCCCCACACCTTCCCTTCAAATCTTTTCTCTGGCCAACTCCATCTCACCATCTACTCTCAATGAAGAAATAACTGGGAGCATCAAGGGGGACAAAATGGGCACCAGATGCAGGGAAGGTGAGATTTGACAAAGCAAAGAAAAAAACCAGCCAAGGCCGGCTCCCCGCCCTAGCCAGGAATGGGAAGTTCTCTTCATCCCTTCTCAGCCTGTTCCCCCTTCCAGCACCTTCACAACCCCAGGGTCCTCCTGTCACTCCCAATGTGGGAAAGCTAGGAAGGGCAGCAGCACAGAAGGAAGAGCAGTGGTGTCTCCAGCATGTCAGCCCACTCAGGCAGAACCATTCCTAATCCAAAGGAAGGTTCTTTTTTGCTGTCTGTAACCTGAGAGCCAAGAGTAGGTCATCTGAGGCTGGAGGCCCCAGTGTGTAGGGGGAGAGAGAGAAGGGGAAGAAAGGGCAGGGTCTCTTAAGGCAGGATAAACTCACAGCTGATAAGTGAGAGGTTAGTGTAGGTAGGACCAAAAAGGGGTCTGATTTTATCACAAGAACCCCGGGATTCAGGAAGGGTGGCCTCCCCCTCCAATTGTACAGAGGGGAAAGATAAAAAGCAATGAGAAACTAACATGAGTAAGGGGCCAAACTGGGGCAACAAGCAGTTCTCCTGACACAGAATCCACATTGGCTTCTTAGCAAGTATCCTTGCATCCTCCCTGGTCCCAGCTTTGGGTGACTACCCAGCTCCAGGATGCTTAACTTACCTGGCCCAGAGTAAAGGAGAAAGCAGGTGCCCAGCAAGCCACAGAATCTAATGTTTGATGCCTGAGATACCAGAGATACTGCTGCCCCGTGTCCAGGGGTAAAGGTAAGGACTAAAACAGATCCTTCCCAAGTAGAGCAGCCCCAGGACAGCTGCCCAATTCCAAGCTAGAAACAACCAACCGGGCTCAGGAAGTTGCCCTTTGATCCTGGGGCATAATAGCAGGCTCAGGATTGAACTGGGGTCCTCTAGCTTTTGGTACAGGCTGCCTCCTGGGCAGCAACCTAGTAGGCTGAAAGTTTTATTAGGAATGGATGAGGCACAGGGAGCTGGGACTAGAGACAGGCTGGAAGGGCAGGGTGGAGAGGACAGATGTGAGGAGACAGGGTAGAAGTGGGAAGTGAAGGGGAGGAGTAAGCCAGCTTGCAAGATACAGGTCCTCAGTCTAAGCCAATCACCCCCAGCCCCTGGATGTCCAGCTGGGCCCAAGATGCTTGATAATTCCAGAGTACTCAGACACCTTCCCAGACTCAGTTTCCCCTCTTGACAGAACAAGGGAGACACTTCTAAAAGGTGACAGTGGTTAAGATGCTTGTAACCAAAGATGCCACCTAGAGAGCCCTCGCCCGACGCCCACCAGCCATGGAATCCTCCTTCCCGTCTCCTCTCCCCCTCCTCTGAGCAGCCCTCCTCCCCTTCCCCGCCCCCCCCCCCCCCGCCCCGCCTCCGGTGAGAGATGGGGGGGCGGGCAGAGCGGAGAGGAGGGAGCGGAGCAGAACAAGCCGAGCGAACGCAGCCACCTGATCCTATCCAAGCGCAGCGAGCAGCCAGTGGCCGGCACTCAGTGCTCAGGGCCCCCCGCTGCTCCAGGGCGGACTTAAGAACAAGGGCCAGAGGAAGAGAAGAGCACACACCCCCCATCCGGGGTCGCAGGCACTCGCTCGCAGGCAGCGTGAGTACTGCAGCGGCCGGGTGGACCGCACCAGGACGGGAGATGGGGAGGAGGGCAGCGGAGAGCGTCCTGGGGGCCTAGATGCCCGGGCACGGGGAGGCGGCCCTCTACCCCCAGGGAGCAAGTGCAAGGCCTGCGAAGAGGGCCAACCTGGCCTATTCTATATGGTGACCAGTTCCCAGTGACCCAGATCCCTGGGAGAAATTGCAGGGAAATGCAATGGGGGCTGGGGGGGGGGGGTACTGATGAGGGGAGAAGGATGAAGGAAATTGGGAGGAGGGGATGGAGGACAGGGAGAAGAGGCTGGGGGACCCGGTGCAGACTGGGGGTGGGGGAAGGGTGGTGGAAAGATACTCCATCTCTGGGGCCATTAATTTGCTAACCACCCACCCCTGGGCTCTTGTCCTTTCTTCTCTGGGGGCTTTAGGTCACTTTTACTCCTGGCTGGGCAGTGCCAAGTCAGGATGGAGTCTTCAAGTCATTGCGAGGTCAGGTCGGGGTGGTCCTGACCCAGGCACCCCTTTTAAGTGCATCAGTCACAGCTCTAGAGCCCGAATGGGACAGAGAAGAAGGGGATCTTTGGGGAATGGGTGTGTGTTCAGCACAGTTTCCAAAGCTCTGGCTGGCTCTACCATGTCTTCATTGGTTCCCAGGAGAAAAGAAAGCAATTTGCAAAACTGGGCAACAGCCTGAGGTAGATTGTTCTGACTAAAATTAGCACTGGTATTCTGATGAGGCTGGCACCCTGACCTATCCGGGATGGTGAGGGGACCCCCCCCTCTCTTTCTTTAGCTCACTTGCACTCTCTCTGAAGACCACACTGGGGAAATTGGGGAGTAGTCTGAAACCTTTGTGGACACCCACCAGGGCCATTGTTCGAAAGCCTGGTGCAGCAGCACCACCCACCTACATCAGCTTTAAGGCCAGAGGGAACCTCAGTCCCTTCTGGCTCCTGCTGCCCTGAGCCCAAAAGAGACATCTAGCCTTGGCCTGGCCCAGGGAAGGCAAGCCTCCTCTACTGTCCCAGGGCCACCTTCTCTCCTGACCTGGAATGGCCTGGCCCAGTGCCCACCCAGAGGAGGCAGGGTTCTGGCTTTCAAAATACCTGAAGGTCTTCCATGGAGAAAAATGCACTGTGTGCTCTGAAAGAGCAGCATTAACCGCAACACAGAGTGGGAGTGGGTGGGCAAGTCACAGCCAGAGGGCCCAGACCCAAGACAGAATGATCCTCAGTGTCCCAGGAAGAACTCTAGGACTGTGGAGGCTGCACAGGAGTGAAGCAGACTGTATGTGGAGAACATGAGCAGCCTGTCATTGTCAGCGTCCAGCGTCTCTGGTACCCATCTCTGGAGGCTGGTGTCCATGATTTCCACAGTGCCCAAGCAGTTGTCAGACTAGTCCAACTGGCTCCCCAGAGCTAGGACATTAGATAGTAAGGAACATCTGGAATGGAATAAAGGGACACGACACACTTCCTCTACCCTTATCTAGTAGATATGGAAAAGGATGTGGCTCCCCTCATAGACTTGACCACCTTGGCTGGCAAAGGTGAAACAGGGTATTATCAGCAAGTTCAGCAAAGCTGGATATAGACTGGCTTCCCACTAACTCCTTGGGAAACCATCTTGCCATCAGGATGGGTGACAAAAAGAAGGCATGAATCTCTAGAGGGTCAAGATCTTGAATTCCCCACTGAAAATGAACTAGCTCTGTTCTACCCCAGCAATCCTTGAAAACTCGGGGAGGATGTAAGTCAGGAGGATTAGTCAGTCTGTAGTGGAAGAAACCAGGTGATGGGGCCTGGAGACAAAGGACACTGGTCCTGCTAAACACGTTTAAATATAATCCAG